TAAAAAGACCGGGCCCTTAAACGAATTGTGGTGATGGGACTAGATGTGTGATAGGAGCAAGAGCAATCTATTAACAATTACATATTGGGTACGGTGGCGCGTGGTCGGGGCGGAAGGAAAAAAGTGCGTGCTGGTATAGAGAGAGAGGTGTACAAAAGTGCGCACTGGTAGAGAGAGAGAGATATATACTAAAGTTTGCACTCTTGACACACCTGGGCCACGCACTAAATTGCAGTGCGGTGATAACGGTATTAATCATAAAGCGTCTTTTATATAAAGGAAGGATGCCCGTGAGATTATCTATAAAATAACAGGGTGTAAGATTAGAGGGTGTGAGAAGAAGATTTCACTGCGTGCTTTGGATAATCTCACGGGGAGGGGGTGAGATTATATTCTTCCATCTGACAATCCCTGCAGGAAGTTCATTCAAAATATTTAGCGCAAGAAACAGGTTCCCTCATGAAGCAGGTGCGAACACAGGAAAGGTATTAGTTAGGTTATAGCACGATTTTTAGGCTAAACGAGCTACATCGATTTCCTGCGGGAATTGGCTTGTGTGTTCAGCATGATAAATGGACTTCCGGATGGACAGAGGATATATTGTCCCTTTCTTATTTCTTAGTGGACAATTCAGGCTAGGGGGCCCCTGGTTTAACATTCACATTTTCAATTTTTTTGACAACTCATGGGTGTTGCCCAGTAAGTGCGTCGTGAGGATTCCCGTTGTATCTTTATGGGGCTAATGGCCCATCGTTGCATTCCGCACTAGGGTCTAACGTGAGCATTTGGATGATGACAGTGTGTAGAAGCATTAGTCGAGGGGCGGGATGGGATGATGGGTCGCATGTTACCCCGTGTGTACTTTTGTATGTACTGCTGTGTTTGAGGTACAGATACTAGCTCCTAAGTATAATTGAGCGTAGCATCCACTGGTATCATTAATGAGCAGTGCCGCTGCATGTACCGCTGAGGAAAAACTGAACAGCGTTAAAGAAGCACAAGCTAAGGCAGAAACAGCGTATTGTGTTTATGGTGCCTCGATGTGCGTGAATACTAGTGGAATGATATGGGAGAGTCAGCCGGAAGGTGTACTTCTTCCTCAGCCAAACGATGGAAGGAGTGGTAATCCATTCTGGATGTGCCTGCCTTTTTCCTATATTCATTGACTGTATTCATGATCCCTCTTTACTTTTCTGTTTGATCCTCGATAGTAACATGGGAGTTAGAGTCACATTCGCTCGTGCTGGGGTCATTCCGTACTGGCACATATGCATTCTACTGAAGAATAGAGTTAGAGTTGTATAAACAGAGCATCCTTAGCTACAATGCTGTCGGGCGCTGGAACAAAAGACGCAGTAGCAGTCAATGGTAAGGATTTTCCCTCTGCAAGCTTATCTATGAGTGCTTTGCTTAATTGTTTAAAAATTATCCTGCGTGTTTCTTTGCCATAATTGTAGCGCAAGATTGTAATATTTGACATACCTCTAAAATTCGTCGTCATTGTCCTGAGAGAAGATCTGTAGAGGGCACAGCGAAAGGACTCAGATTGCACAGAACGGCTCAGATGTTATTATTGACGAGGGATCTGTTTGATGGCTACCTACATAGGGACTAGGGAAAGTAGCCTTGGATCACTTGAGTTAGACCGATTGGAACTTGGCTTAAATGCCTCGAATTAGACCTCCACGACCTTGGGGCCGCTGCAATGACGCTTTACCGGATCCATAGAAAGGATAGCAGATTTTCTACAGACGCAAAAAAAACCTGCATCCGTTGTGTGGGCTACAGTGCACAACAATCTCATTATTGGTATTATTGGTGTATCCGCATTTAAAGCTGAATGGATCATTCGCATGATTAGCTTTCCAATGAGAGAACCCCCCTTTTTTTGAGTCGCAATAGCATTTAAGAAAATATGGATTTTAAGATATGGACATTGGAAGGTTGGAAGGTATAATGTCTATGATGCGCGTGAGGATCTCTTTTTTGTTTATTCTCGCTTTCTTGATGAGATATGTTGAGCTGGACCCCTTGCGCCTGGGAAGGGGTGCGCTTTGGTTTAAAAGGAATTCATTGTACAATCATTGGTCATCAGGAGGACAGTAACACTGGGACAGGCACTCATTGCAAAGGCCTTTGTATACACTACGAACCACAGAACGGCATCTGTTGCAAGGAATCTTGCAACAGCTATGGTCAAAGTGATCAAGGTGATGCACGGTCAAGGGCATTATCGCGAAGATGGCTGGGTAACTAACTAAAGTCTCCATAGAGGGTGTCCACATATAGACTACAGCGGATGGGCAATCAGTAGATGACTTGGAATCTGAGGATTTGGGCGAAGCAGCTACATACACCGCAGCGTTGGTCCAAGATGGCCCATGCACGTTGCTGCACAAACGCACAGACGCATCATCCAAAGTCGCACAGAGACAATATGCGAGTGAGCCCGGGAGAAGAACAGTTGATCTCTGTCGCGCTTGGTCACATTCTGGTTAAGTTTCTTCGGCATATAATGTGTCCACATAAAACTAGATAGCCCAACCAAGGAGTCCATCAATAGTACGTTTGATCTGTGCTCTATTAATGCTTTTGCTTGCACGACTACAACTCAGCACCCTTTTTCCCTTTCCTCATAGTACAAAGAGAAGAGTTTCCTCGATGCCATGCGTTCCTCGTCTCTGTTAGAAGATAATCTATAATGGCAACCCGGGTGGCCAGTCTTATTTGACAACTCCTGCAGGAAATCCGCGTAAAACACGTGGTGCATTTGCCGAAGACAAAGGCAACCTGAACGAAAACGGCAGACTCCTTCGAGAAGCAGTCGTCGTTTGAATACAGGAAAAATATTACTTGCATGCTCAACGTAGCAAATGGATTTCCGCATGGGTTGTCAAATAAGACTGACAACCCAGGTTGCCAAGTAACTCTGGGTTGCGGGTCTATAGTACCAAGTGAGCAGAGCTACTCTCGGGATAAAAGCAAAAAGATCATGAAGAGAGTGGGATTTGAACCCACGCCTACGAATAGACCGCGGCCTTAACGCGGCGCCTTAGACCAACTCGGCCATCTCTCCAGTTGATATTTGTCTCAAAAATATACTTACTATATATCTATTATTTAAATCGCATGCTCTATAAGTGCACGTTCTTTATGTGCACGATCCTTATATGCACGTCCCTGGACAGCGATAGTAGATCTTTGAGTGCTCATGGGGATTTATGTTAATAGTGGCAACGAGGCTGCAGACACTGTTGCCAAGGCAGCACATGGGATCGATACAGGACTATGGAGGCTAGACGCAACGCAGCACCATGATTTGAAATGCCACGCACAGTTTGCAACGCACAGTGCAGACCTGGACTTGAGGAGGATACTGAAGTTGCAGTCCGCGGTACGGCACCATTATCAGTGGACATTGCAGCATCGAACGAGGACCTACATCAAGGATTGGCGGTCGGTAGCATGGGCGCCCACGCTACGGATCTTACACGATAACAACCCGCCAAAGCGCTTATACACCAGCCTGGAAGACTGTCGTTTACGTTCGCACAGGATCAAGAAGCTGCATGGAGATTTGCCGACATTGCAGGCGATGAAGAAACGACATCCAGATATCTACCAAACGGACATATGTCGTAGGTGTGAGAGGGAACCAGAGACGAACGATCATCTTTGGCGTTGTTCAGCTACCTTGTGCGACCAGCGACAAGAGTGGAGGGACGCGGTGGAGGAAGTGGAGTTGAATGGATATCGTGCATGGAGACAGGCAGTGCGAAAATGGGAACAGGAGAGAGAGGAGGCCGAACGGAAGGACAAGCCCTTCACTGCGACTTGTCCCAACTTCTCGGCAACAGGAACGAAGGCTATCTGGGAGTCAATGCAGTGGATTCAGGGGACGGCGGAAAGGCGAGGGACATATCGGGTTGCGGAAGAAGAGGAGCCGGAGAGTGAGGCAGATTGGGAGGTCAAGGACTTATACCGAGGTTTGGTGCCAACGGGACTCATTGAGACCTGGAAGCAGCTATTTACCACCACTAAGTGGATTGCGACGATCATGGTGACAAAGTTCGTGAGCAGGATCGAAGAATTTGGCAGGACCAAGATATGGAACAAACGATGCGAGGACACTGTCGCCTGGGAAAAGTCAGTTGGAATCACCTTCATGAGCAAACGCGCCGGAGGACGCAACGGTGATCGGGGACACCAACGTAGTGTTGGTGATTTCTCTGATTTGAAAGGGAGACGGTTACTTGCAACGGAGATCCAGGAAGGTAGACGGACCGCGGATTATAGGGTGCTACAGCATTGCTTGGGGCGAGGGAAGTTGGACATAATGGAGGGGTTATTCGGTTTAAAAACAACTTTATTAACATTGGATCTGGATTAGGAGACGTGTATCGCGCAACAGGTCACGCAGGAGTTAGGTTAGGCTAGCTATGCGACATGGGTTATGAATTTGACGCCTCAAGCCAACATAGTTGGTAGGGGATGCGGCTCTGCCGTGCATGGAAGGCATCTATGGCTTCAAGGCCTTTGCGGACCATGCGTCTTGTGCTCATGGGGATTTATGTTAATAAAAAAAAAAAAAAAAAAAAAGCGATAGTAGATCTTTGTTAGTTAGTCTGATGGATTCGTAGAGCCAATTGACTCGAGAGACAATTTGTTATAAAAAAAAAAAGAAAAAAAAAAAGACAACCATCACCAGCAGTGTTGCACCACATCCAGCAACAGCGTACTCAACTGCAAATACTGGACGAAGTTGCTATGTTCTCGGGCGACTCAATGGGAGAAGCAGGGAAGCAGAGTGTTCGAATGGTGTTTGGAGTGGTAGCGCAGGAAAATCGAGACACCATGCGCACAGTGATACCGGACAGGACCGCTGTGGAGAGCACAAACGTAGCAGTAACGATTTTATGGGATCTACCCTGAGGCAGCGACAAGCACCCGATGTGAAAGAGACCAACGACGCCGCGGATGAACAAGTGTAGGGGCACTATCTAGGACAGCTGAGGTTCGATGTGATGGAGCGGCTGGGAGGATGTCAATTTCTTAAAATGTCAAACGACCGTGGCTAAAGGACGACTTTCGCGCACAAAATGCGGATCTGTTGCGGTATAGTCGGAGCGGGCAGCTTGCTGTTTGCTTTCTTCCCCACTTGCAGCTTCCCTTCAGACCACAGTTAACAAATCCCATGTCCTTGAGAGTTCTTTTTAAGCAATGAACGATGTTCTAATGAAAAAATATGTTTGGTTATTATATAGGTGTATACATTTGAGTTGCCCGGAATGTCCACTCAAATGACGGGAGCAACTACACAAGGCATAAAAAAATAAAATAAAAGGTCCACTCAAAACAAACGGCACAAACGGCCTTTTCCCCCTACTCGGTTTCTGAACCTCTCACCTCACGCAGCCATGCGAAGTGTTGCACTATCTGCGGTTGAAACAGCCCTTTGAAAAGGGATCCAATAAATAATATTCGGTTGCAATGATCGTACGCCATTGAGCAGCGCAATCATACAACAACTTGAAGCCCGATGCCTTGAGCATATCCGTGTAGTGTTCTCATTAGATTGGGCAGCAATGGACGGGATCCAGAGCGTTATTGATGCGAGCCTTCGAGTGGAGAGCTGGCCGACTTCCGAAAGAACGCCTGATCTACAGTGGTGCAATAACACCGACAACGCAATATCCCCATAAAGACGCCAGTGGAGAGGAGGATACGAAGAAGGGCAATATCAACGGTGCCAGCGAAGAGGGGGAAGACGTCAAAGCCGAGCACATCGACTGGTGGGGCAAGGGCATCAATACCGATACTGTGTTTCCCATACCCTCCGGCCTACACGTCAACAGGTACCGTTGCGCAGGAGAATTTATTATCGAGATGGACTTCCCATGGATATTGTGGGAAAGAAAGGTCTTCTGCCAACATGCCGCACTTGCCGCTACAAGATTGAAAGAGGAGACATGCGCTTTATCCTTCATCGAAAATATGGATCAAAACGTAGCAGCATCATGTTCTACCACTTCAAGGAAATATGCATCAACGGAGCTACACTTACCCCAGGCGAAGAAGATCAGGCTGATGCTGAGCTTGGCGCTATCCATAAAAGCGAATCAATGGAATGAAATGGATGATCCAGTCTGCCTTTATTTTTGGGCGCACGCGCAATTTGAGTTGACCCAGGGCGTCATTTGAGTGGACATTATTAAGTTTCAAAATGAGTTGACCTGAGTTGCCGGTCAACTCAAATGTTTTCACCCTTATTGTATTATTATACTGTGAGGGTACACTGGACTCTGGTGAAATACACTATGGTTCAAAACTGAGCGCATGTTATGATATATATTTTATTTTTTTCAATATCTCGATGGATCGTGATTTGATTTCCATGAGCGTTGGTGTCATGCCAGCCGTTGATTCTGTTAGCGATACTACTAAATTAGGGCTCGATATCTAACCACATTGTAAAGTTATCAGTATCTTAGTTGCGTAAAAATGATATACAAAATCCATGACATTGTCATTACTCATACATCCATATCTTAATACCCAGCTTTTTTTTATTCACTCATCTTCCTTTTGTCTCTCTCCATATTCCTACCCAATATGAGGCCGACTGTAAGAGTTTTGTGTGGAAGAGCTGACAAGGTGAGTCTTGGGACAAGAGGATACTGGAGACAAGAAACTTTATGACAGGAACTAAGACTAGACAAGACTGACTAACTAGCTAGACTAGGCGCGTCCTTTTATAGTTGTCTACAGCTGAGTATTACTAAGCTGGGTCTTGCTAATAAAGAGAGTGTTCTGGATGGATCTGGCTGTAGGTGGATATCCACCTAGGACAACGGGACTCCTAGGCTTTTCTAGAAGAGCCTAAAGCCCCCTGGTCTTGTGCATGTGACCACCGTCCAATCACAGAGATACAAATCTCTGACACACATTCTGAATAACAAGACATGGGTTGTTTTGTATTCACTCACTACCGTTCTGCTTCATTTCCTCCAAGATGTATTTTAAGGCCATTATCGCCCTTCAGGTCCTTTGTCTGGCTATTTGAGTAGCGGCATATAATCCTCAAAATCTTGACGCCACCGTGCATGCTACAGTCAACTCGGCGAAGGGTCTGATTACCAGCATACTCAACCCAATTTTCGATGAATCTGAAGGTGTGATGTGTCCCGAGCCCACCTTTAAAGCGAAGATTATTGCCATCAACTCGCTTTGCCAACAGAAGTTCAATAAGGATGCTATGACACTCTGCCGATATTTTGGGCAGAAATGCATTGCAGTCCCCGGAAAATGGGGGTGCGGGTATTTCGACAACGACGAAAAAAACAGCAGAGGATGCTTGTTTCGACCTGTGTCCGATTATCCTGGTATCCCCAGTATTACATTTGACGATGAAGAGAAAATGAGGCATGAATCCGGTGGATTCTACTATCAGGAGTAGCCCATTTATCAAATAAACAACTAACCAAGCCATAAATTCACACCTGTAAAAAAACTAAATGCATCCACTTCCGCGTTCGTCACTATCGTTGGTGGGTCTATACATGTAGACTGAGACATATGATTTCGATCAAGTCGATTTACCGTAGACGATTAGATATCTTTTATACTATTTAGCTTAATAGATGTTGGAGACTGACTCGGATATCTAAGACCTCTCAAATGTGCCGCACTATCCCTGCCCATACTTGAAAGCCCTCGCTGAAGAATATAGCGTACGTAGTAACGATAGCTGCCATTGCCAATAGGAGCATAGCAGCCTCCATGATCTTGCTGGCTTTCGCCTCTCGATCCCGGTGGCATCTCGCCGATTTCATCACTATTTCAGTCTTCTGTCTGGCCAGGTCCGCTCTTTCGCCCTGGTCTTGCTTGTGATGGAACCACTCTGGGACGACTATATCCATGAAGCTCGGCAGAATTTCGATCAAGGTCCTTGCCGTCGGCATAACCTCGCCATCCACATCGAACACCCCTGGTTTCTGATGGATATTCAGCTGCTTGGCTGAATCAGACGTAACGAGCTCCGGGTGAACAATCTCATGCGTTGTGCTATCGTTCGGCTCACCCTCGACTCCTGGGACAATCAACAAACCACCGCACTTGACATACTGCATCAGCTCGCGCTCTACAAGTTTCCCATTGTTCTGATCCAACACAAACGGCAACACAATCCTCCAGAACCGGGTCTCACATGAGTACCAGACATGCATGATCCCATCATTGAATCGGACCCTGTCTGTGAAATAGATGGATTCGCCAACGAACATGCAGTTGAGCAGCAGCATCATGCTATAGAACGGCATATTGGGCAATTGCTTCCAGGGACTCGGTGGCTCCTCCTGTGTGTGCTTGAGAAGTGATTCGTGTTGTACGGCTGGACCCTTCAGGTCTGGAGGATGAGATGAAGAGATTATGGGTCCTGGTGATTCGTGTTGTGGAGGCAAAATATATACTTTTCCGGGATATCGCCGAAGCCGGATCATACGAATAAATCCTGCAATATCGAAACGTAAAGGACCAAGCCAGCGATATCTTGAAACAAAAGATAGGGGGCAATTAACAGTTGTTGTCAAGCGATATTTAGGGATGCATCAATTGGTTAAGGCCGGGAATACCTACCTGTCTGATTCGATGTCTGCATCGGCCATCATTCCCCAGCTGAACAACAGCATCGAATAGATTCTTGGTCGATTACGCTGCGACAGCGAAAAGATGTCGAGTCTGGCTGTTTCTCCACGAATAAGCGCAAGGGTCGCTACAACTGGACTACGCGTACCTGTAGTCAATATTAGTAAGCAAATGGTCAGTTGCTGCGCAGTTCGTGCTGCGGTCCCCCCCCCCAAAAAAAAAAAAAAAAAAAAAAAAGAAGCTCGTTGACCCTTTGCGTGAAGCAATATAACGACAAGAGTATACCTAGGGATGTTGCAATTGCGTTTCCCGACCCGGCTGGTATGATGCTGATAGGTAACCGCCTGGACTGGTTCCAATCCGGCCGCGACAGGAGACCATTAATGATCTCATGGAGCACGCCGTCTCCTGAAACTACCGCCAGTGTATCGAGCTCTTCCAGATTGACTTTGTACGCAATATCAATGGCGTGTCTGCCATATTCTGTGTCTATAAATTAAACATCGAAACCATAAGAGAAAGTGGTAGTTAACGTCGTGCAGTGTAAAAGTAAGGACGCATAGCTATATCAGCCAATATACACCATACATTGCTCCTTCACCATCAGTCCTGAGTGCTCTAGCATGGGTCTCACGACGGACTCCTTGATGGTCTTGGCTCTGCCAACTCCACCGTTAGGGTTGACCAAGAGCAGGATTCGCCTTGGCCTAGGAAAGACTGTTCAAGAGAATAAAAAGACATTGTGCTATAGTGCCAGTCCCATGCTGCTGCACCCTGCACCCTCAAATGATGTTTGTAAAGGCAGAGCAGTTACCTCCTCGCTGCTTTGCAACAGCCATGAACCGTTGCACATCTATCCGCTGCTCGAAAATAAAATCCGTTGTTGCAGTTTTCGGAGAGGACACGATCTTCAGGTCTGGCGAAGTGAATTCAACATAGTATATGGTGACAGTGCGATCCTGAAGCGAGCTATTTACAAGAACATTTAGTTCCTGGTGTGCCGACTCAGTTGGTACTTGATCTGGAGCGATATATCCGTAGATGCACGAATAAGGGACTAATTGCGGCCAGGAAGTTGAAAGGTAAGGACCCGTGAGCTGAGGACGCTGCATAGTTGTACGGAGGTCATAGCTGCTTCCGGTCTATCCCTGAATAGCCACTGGCGTTATCAGTCCTAACCTCGTGTTGTGCCCTTGCTTGTTGGCCGGACAGACCAGACTAGTTCCTGGGACCCCACCAGGAGAGTAGCAGGGTATGTACTTGTGCGCTCAGGAAAGGATGCATTGCACGCGAACTCGATTACTGCGGTCTCCATGGCTACGGCCGGTAGAATGAAATAAGTCTTTGAAATGGTGAATGAGGAAAGCGGGGGGAATGACAAAAAGAAGCAGCGAGGCGCAGGAAACTCAACTCCAAAAATAATAATATAAACTCAAAAAGGCAGCGGCTGCAGTGCAAGGCAGCATTCTATTGGTTGGCGCGTATCCACGCTTGCTGTGGACGTGTCTTGAGCGCGCTATCGAGAGAGTATACGGGGATGTTTGGACTCATACCCTGGAGAGCAAATTGATGCAGTCGCATGCATTTTCCACTACAGGACTCATATATGCATGTCGCGTGAGTGTGGTCAGATCGGATGGATGAATGGGTTGACTGCTGTGTGGTTCCTGTACTAGAGTGCCGAGTAGGCCAGATACGATGCGTCAGCTTGTTGGTGTGTCTTTTTTTTTTTTTTTTTTTTTTTCATGCAGACCACCGAAAAAAACGTGGGATCTCTACACAAGTGTCAGCCGCGACCTCAACTCACATAGAATCAGCTCTACTAACAGCACCGTACTAGCTTTTTCAAAGCAGCACATCCATAGACAACTACAGCGCCACCCCAGCTGTGCTTGCCGATCATACCGAGTCCATGCAACAACAGCCGACAGAGGCTCACGGACAAGGAAAGACCAGCCCAGTCCTGCGGGCAGATCGTATCCAGGCTTTGAGGCCATAAGAAGACTCTATTATACCTGTAGACAAACAAAGCTAGAGGGCAGCTATTTTCATTGTGCTATGCTCCGTTGTATACATTGCTATGCCTAAAAAACGCCACAATTCTAGCCAGATTGGTTCTCTATATGTCCTGTTTAGATAATCTGCACACTTGAGCAGCAGTGGGTGACGCACCCGGATAAGAGCCGGGGGGTTAAGAACTGCAGCTCTTCTTTTCGACACGTATAGCTGCATCACTGTCCTGAAAGAACGGCAGTCAACTAGTCTTGTCCTATCCCGCCCTACATACTAACGGGTGTACCATCGCTTTTCTTCCGTCAAATGATAGGACCGTATGATTGAGGGAGCAATCCCGAGAGTACTCGGCAATTTGAAAGGACCCGGACGGGGCGCGACCCCTGATTCTATTGACATTGTCCTGCGTGTTTTCCAAATCGCCCATCCAAATGAACTCCAAGGAGATCGTCCTCGGCGCAATAGCCAAAGCAGCGTACAGGATTGACAATACCCTCCTTCAGCTGCGGCAGCTAGAGACCAGGCCCCATGACTCCACATTATATGATCTCGATACGCCGCGAGATACCATCGCGCCCACTTGCAATGTCGCATTGAAGCTCAGAGGGTATGTCAATGATGACTATCATGTGCGCTTTAGTCCTAGCATGATGATGTTTAACTCAATGGAGCTCGTCTGCGTTTTGTAAGCTGTTGATAGAAAAAATTAGGGGTAAGAGATGGAGGACGAGATAAGCAGAGCTCGCTGCGCTAGCTGCTGGACATTTGAGGGTCGCTAACAGGCTCGGGGCAGCCTACGTTAGCCGTGCTGAGCCTGCTCCACGAGCATGCTATTTTCGCAATTATTGTTAAGTTGCTTGTTGTACTGCTACATCAAAGGCATGCATCTCTAACATCCTATGTTTTGTAACTTGAAGATATGTCATAGGAACCTGGATCAGCTCGTTGTGGACAAGAGTGCCACCATCCGGACACTCCCATTATCGAGGGCGAGCTAAGGTATCATTGTTCATGCCCTCGCCAGTCATGCAAGCTCAGTCTCAAGATGAAAGGTAAAGGCAAATGCAGCGGGCACCACGTTGTCCTAGCGAGGATTGACACAAGTTTGACGTCGAAGTCAATAGATAGACCAAACTGGTCTTGCTCCTACAGCAGCCATGGCCTTCCAGATGGGCACAAGCAGGGTGAGCAAGCGCTGTATATACAGCTCAGGCGGTATGGCGATTGTTACTTGGTCATGTCAAATAACCAGACAATGCGATGAATATCGCTGAAAGAGCTGCTGCAATGGGCGCATGAGTGCAGGAATGCATGGGCGCAGAAGAGTATTTCTCTGCAGCAATCAACGAGACATGAACCGTAGTCAAGAGGTCATGATATGTCCATGCGACATCCAGCCCACCGTCGTTTTCTCGCTCCCCTATCCAGAAGCACAACAGGTGAAGGGAACGCTATTTTTTTTTTAATATATATGCCTAAGAATACCCATTAATTCATTCATTCCGAGGAGTTCAAGATCGGCTCATCCATTTAAAAAACTACTGTAGCATGCGATTCGCAGGGATTGCTTCACAGAAAAGTGTGGTCGCCCGGTGATTCTTTTTGATCATGTCAAGCAAGAAGCCTTAATGTTGCCTCTGCAGAGAGCTGCATGGTTCGGATGAATTGATAAAGTGCCAGGAGGGGACTACCATTGGGAATATCGATGGCAATAAAAACTAGCCAGGCGTCAGCTTGCACAACAGCGTAAAGTAGAACCATGAGCCGAAATGGGAGTGTCGGCTTCATGAGCGCCTATTTTAATACTGCCCTTGCTCTGAAGAATACTTGTAAATGTCGGGGGAAATTGGCGCAGCTGAACTTCTACTTTTCAAGCGCAAACATTCTGACCAACGTTTAGCTTCAAAATTGGCTTCGCTCGCCTCACTACGTGCGTAAAGCCCTCACCTTCAATATCCTTCATCCTCATGCCTTTATCGCCCCAAAGGTCGAAGTCCGAGGGAGTTCATAAGGGCTGTTAGATCTTGTCTAGGATTGAGGGCACTCTGTACAGGAACATTCACGTTTGACCGCGCTAGTACATTGGTCAATGAGAGGTGGGCTCTTCAAGACCATCTGCGGTACTCATGTGCTGGGATGCTCACCGGAGCGATTGTTGCCAGCTCGAAAACAGGAGCCGTCATCACAGTTAAAGCCGTCGAGATCTATGGAAGGACCAATACCCATGGCCCTACCGAGAAGCAACGAAAATCGTCAAGGGCCACCCTGTAGCCGCTTCTTTGCCTCTATCCACCGAAATCATGTACCACGACGTATGACCGATAACGTCAATGGGTATTGATAAAACGCAGCTGTTGGCTGGAGCGCAGCCATTCACCGCGCTCATCATCTCATCCATGCGCCTGGGCCAAGAGCAATGGTCCTCTCTCGGGAGGAAACACTGGAGCACTCCTTGGCCTAGACAAAAACACCGAGGAATCATTTAAGACGATCAATATGTTCTTACCAATTGTATGTAGCGACAAGCGAGAATAAATAGAATTGATCGAAGCATAAAAGGGCTACATTCTTGTAGGACTCTTCTGATGAATATCAAGCTTTTGAGCTTACTTACTCGAGTCAGAAATGATCTGACGCTTCATAGGTTGACTTACACTGTTCATTTTTTTTATCAACATCTCTGGGCTCGTTGCCTCTTCGATTCATTCCGGCTATTCCTCAGCGACCGCGTCCTTCATCGCCGATGACTATAGCAAAGTCTCCTCTACTGTTCCTTAGTAATCTCCTATTGTCATCGCCTCCAGGTCCTCCATCACCATCGCCCGAGGGAGTACCAGAAGTGGCATCAGAACCTTTAGACAACAATCGAATTCTCGCCGTCTTTGACAGCGCTGTGGAGTACTCCGGTCAGGTTAGGGCAATACGTGATACTTTTGGATTCGTATCGGTGATATATGGTCATGGTCGATATTCTTCATCATCACTCAGTGAGGGCCTCGAATCAGAAATGCTTTGAGCCGTCCGAAGATATGGGTATTTTGCATTCGTATTGATTATTGTAGGTGGGGCCGATATATTAATGCCCAAACAAGAAGCATATGATGTTGGGAACCCGCGTTTTACGGCTAGACATAGATCTCAATAACTATTCCAGGTTTTCCAGATCCAGATAAGCTGCCTGACTAATCTGTACATAATGAACTCCATCGCGGTACATTTGATGTGAAAAGGCGCCAGGATCGCTTTTGAATTCCATCCGCAGTCATTTCTAAAGCAGACCTTATCTGTTTATCTTGCGTGGATAACTTTTGTTATTCTAGGAGATCATGAAGAGCCCATACCCTTCATGAATCGTTCTACGATCTGATGCGCTGCAGCCCCAGACATGACTTCATTCCGAAGAACCTTGGCCTCAAGCTCGTCCGCCATCTCCCGGACATGAGCATCATCGTTCAGTCTGCAAAAATAAAAATAAGAATAAATATAAAACATGTGTGAGCAAGGAGCCGAAGTGAATCTGCATCTTATTAAATGTTTGAGCCACGGCGAAAAAGGAGACAACTTACAGATCCAGCAACTCTGACGAGACCTGTCGCCACATCCAAATCTTGCGCTGATTGCCTCGCTTCTTTTGCAGCTCCCCCGTCGACTATATCAGATAAAAATCAAGTAGGAAAGATTGTCAGCAAAGGGTTCATCCGGCCAAGAGTTCATGCGCAACAATGATAAAGCCCTGGATCTGCCACTTGCCTCCATGATATCAAAATACTCCTTCATGGTATTCCAGGCCTGCTCAATACCGCCTTCCGGTCCACCCATTGACGACACCCGGATCACCTTGGGCTTCCAATGAGCTGAGATGGCCTTGACAAATTTGAGTGCGCTGGTGTATTCGATCTGTGCGTTGCGTGCTGAGTCCACGAGCGCTCCGTCTGATTTGTTGACAATAACCAGATCCGAGAGTTCCATAATACCCTTTTTCATACCCTATTAACAGTGCGAAATACGACAGGAATGGCAAAGAGAGCAGGAATTCAGCAACCAAACATCCTTGGGACGCCCTGTTCTGTAGCAGCATCCATACATTCCGTGTTTGGCTACAGCGTCTGTGCTACCTGAAGTTCATCTCCGCCTGCTGGAGGTACAAGGAGAACAAACCTATGGTTATGAATATAAGACGGATCTTTGTCAGTATGTAAAGGTGCTTGCCGCCAACACGAAAGACATCATGTACACGATGAGAGTATCCTTACATGTCCACAATATCGGCAACCATCGTCTCGGACTGACCAACTCCGACAGTCTCCACAAGACAGATATCATATCCAGCGGCTATGTTGGGCGGGCGAAAATAATAATAATAATAAAGGGGGGGGGGGGGGAAAGAGGAGAAGGAGGAGGAAGAGGGAGTCAACATTGTGTGTTATTGCTACACTTTCTGAAATTGAATACACGCGATATGTACCTTCACACAAGGTGATGGCCTCCGTTGTGTTTCTTGCCACCTATGAACAACAAGAGTCGACGTCAATGTCCGCCGCGGATATTGTCCATGAGCCTCTGTTCAATTTTACCACACGCAGTTAATGATACATACACCACCTAGACAAAACACCCAAAAGTTTGCCTGTTAGTATCTAAGATGCATTTGATACTGAAGACGCGTTAAGAATAGTAAAACGGATCTAACGGCCACGTACCTAGCGTTCCACGACTTGGAGAAGGTCGTACATATGCCTTGGTATCGCGTGAAAGCTCTGTCATCCTAGTCTTGTCTCCCAAAATCGATCCTCCAGTCCTTGCTGAAGATGGATCTACAGCCTACAGAGTCGTCGCCACAAACAAGCGGTGTTAAGCGCAGAGTATCAAAGAAAAATAGCTTGCTGTGCATATCATCGCTGTCGATCGCCTGCCCTTCCCTACCAGGACCGAAACACGATGTCCCTTTGACAAGAGATACATTCCAAAGGCCTCGATGAATGTGGACTTCCCCACTCCAGGAGGACCAGACAGTCCAATCCTAAAACTTTTACCCAGCCTAATTGGCTGTTCCTGTTGCTGCTCCGACACCATCTGGGCTCCTGAACCGGATGTCGGCCGCGGTCCGTCTTGGGACCCTGTTGTCAACATTGTCGCGGTCGAACCCTCAATGGGTTTATCGAACGAAGGAGTCACATTGGCAAGGGAGGTGCTTTGCTGAGAGGCTAGATTAGACTCCCGTTCAAGAATCTTGGACAGTAGTTTTTGTGCCTGAACACGGTGCTTTGGATTTGAGGACTCAACTATCCAGATAGTATAGATAAGAAAGACGTGATTAGCAGCGCTATGAGAACCGTTCACAGTCATTATCCGTTGACCTTTTGTCTTTTTTTGACTTCTTCGGATCGGAGATCTCGATCTACCTGTATTTCTTATAACTGCCCACACTCATATTTTGTTGTTTTTCCTAATTTTCTCCCACGGTTCTTGTTGCCGTGGGTTTGGTGTGTGGGAGAGCGTGCACTTTATTCTGTCGTTGAAGTCATTTAAGAGTGAAACTAGACTTACCGAGTGTAATGGCCCTTGCCAATGCATATCGGTCGTCCTCGAGAAGACCCGCAAGGAGTCCCTCTACAGAATCATCGCGCTGCTTGACTGGCTGCCGCTGATCCTCGGACAGGGTTTCTGGTGAGGTGGTGACAAAGCTTCTTTGTGCGAGGGGTCGCGTGTCTGGACAAGAGAATGAAGGGGGTTGAGAGAGATAAACAGGTGTCAGAAACAAACAAGCCGGTGGATGCGTTTTTGTTGTTGTCGTCGCTATTGCTGCAGGGTCGAATCGAGGTTAGCAGACTCCCCGGAAGGTGTGCTGAAGTAAACTCACAGGTCAAGGGAGGTGTCGCAGGAAGGGGACGCAGGCGTCCTGCCAGGGTCAAGACAGGACCCCTGGGGAAAGTCATCCTGGCCCTGGCTGCTGAGGAGAGTGCCATGGTGATGGGATTGACTGGAGAGAGAGGAAGGATGCAAGTAATGAGAGATGGGGTATGATTCGAGGGAGGGAATCATAAGAAAAAAAGGAGAAAAAGAGAACCCGCAATTGCATGGCACCTTTGGACCGGGTGGGTGTGGGAGAAGGTGTTCACTTTTCCCCGCACTAAGAAGTTGCCACCAAAAGAGATTGAGGTTTTATTTCGACTCGTCCCTGTTTCTTCTCCTCACTCCTCTCCCTTCTCCTTCGACCTGTTTGCAGTGGTAGTTCTTCGAGCGACAGCAGCGTCCGTTTGCATGTACCTTTTCTGCCCTACGACATCCCCATCCCTCTCCTTCTTCTTCCATTCCTTCCTCCTACCCCATCCCTCTTCTTCTTTCTTTACTCCTGCCTCATGTCTGTTAATGCACTCCTCAGCACTGCCTCTGCTCCTTCCCATGCTCCGTCACCAACAACCAACCTCCCTCCTCGACCTTTGATGCCACTAGTCTCCGTCTCTATCTCTGTCCTCGGTCCAGATCCACACCTCAGTCTCGGGGGCCCTGTCCCTGGCCCTGTCATGTCTCCTTCTACTGCAAGCCACATGGAGGCTACTACCAACGATCGACAGCATCAGGACCAGTACCAGTATCACCAGCAGCAACAGAATCCATCTGGCGCCCTGGCTTCGTTAGTCTCGATACACAAGCAAGGCACACCCTTGCCACCAGATCAATTGCACCAACAGCATCAACTCCCTCACCATCACCAGGGGCATACAGCGGAGCCGGCTCTTTTCAGGGGATCACTCGAGGGCTCGGAGCCAAGCATACATTCCCTCTCCTCTTTGTCGTCCCTGTCCTCGGTAAATAAACCAGCCCTGAGTGTACATTGCATCCGCATCGTCCATTCAGACATATGTGCTATATGCCATCTGCTATCAATCGATCAAACAGCACATCGTTTGTTGTGTGCTATCGAGGTTGCATGGTTTCTGTCTGCATCGATTGTCTGCATAACACCTCTTCGAAAAAGAAAAATCTCTTCAAGGAGATGACAATCTAACCTGTTGGCTCTTTTTTATCTTTCTTACTCTTTCTTTCCTCTTTAAAAAAAACGGCTCTCTCTCTTATACCCGCGTCTATTCTCGTCTTTAGGAGAAACCGCCTCCATCACAGTCCCAGGGCCCAGTTCCACCCTGCGCCGCAATGGCCCCGACTGTCCATGATTATACCCATCCGCCATTGGCCTTGACTTCAGCGGAACCCCGCCTGTCAATGGACCACCAACAACACCCATATCTCTCAGCATCTCCAGACCCAGATACCCGTCGCATTCCCACGCCGTCGTCCTCGCCCTATCGCGGAGAACACCACCGCCAGCAGGATGATAGCGACCACTCAAGATCTTCACTAGACTACCAGCAGCATCAGCACTATCAACATCAACCACCTCCATACTCCTACTCTGCAGGGACTCACGGCTCCACGCTGATGGCGGTCGCACCACCTCCAACAGAAGAACATCTCTTCCAAATCCAAGAACTCCTCACACGTCCCAGCAATTTGACTGGATCGGCCGGTACTTCTGCTTCTTCTAACACAATAAGTAGCGCCTCGATCTCGAGTCAGCAGCAGACCTTCATTTGTGCAAACCCTATGCACGACCAACAATATCTCCTTCTAGGCTCCAATAACGCACTGCACTCCATCGACTTGACTCTCCCCTCCGACCAACAATCCATCCGGACTCATATCCAGGGCCTTGCCTTCAAGGAGATTCACTGCCTTGAGGATGTCGGGCTTGTTATCGTGATTGCAGGACGCAATTCCCGAGTACGATGCTACGACTACGACGCCATCAAACGACTCGTCTCGTATGGACATTCCAGGGAGGGTCAGGGTAGAGTCATCGAGGGCGGCAAACTTGGGGCCATGAAGAATATGATCCAGCTGCGCGTTGAGACCGCGTTCCTGAGAGAAGACAACAGCAGCAATCAGGGAACGACAGGAGGAAGAGCACTAGACGGTCCACAGTCAAGTCCTGGTCCTCAACTATCCATCGCAAGTCGGATCCTGAAGGTCTCTTCTCCATCCACACCACTGCCGACTCGCCCTCACCAACACCAGCATACCAGGAGCATCGATCGAGCGCTGTTGTCACCCCCTGTGCGCTCGGATAGTCCTCCGAAAAACCATGTTGTTGATACCATAGACGAGGCTTGCCAGGAGCATGATATACTGCCAACAATGTTTTCTGCACCAACTTCACCAACGAGCAAGAGAAGCAAGCAAAGGCCGTTGAGCTTCGCCGGTCTGGCTTCATTGGCGCATGAGCACGTCATGAAAAACAGGGGGCAACAGCAGCAACAGCAGCAAGCCCAAACTCAACCCCAGGTCCAGAACAGGACAGCACCTCTATCTCCCTTCTCAACACTGACCTCCCCGGGCTCCAGCAACTCAAACACTGCTAACTCCAATACTAACGCGAGCGGTGGCCTCAAAAGCAAGCGGCTCACACAAATGGCCTCGTACCTGAGCCAAGCAGCCGCCAACGCCAACATGGCCACTGCCGCTACCGCGCCCTCAGAAGAAGCTGTCGCCTGGGCATGGGAGTTCACGAAACTGAAGCAGACTAAGGACGTCCTCAGCCTCGACTTTCACTACACCATGACCACTGTCTTCATGACCATCCTCTCTAAGAACGGCATCGACATCTATTGCAGGTCACGATCTGCCCGTGGACGCAAACCTGGGACATTATCCCAGGCCTCTTCTTCAGAAAACAGCGAATTAAACGGAAGTCCTACGGCTGGTCCAGAGATCTCAGGACGATTGAATACGAGCACGATTGGAGGAATGGCCTCTGCAGCATTTCCCAGCAGTACCAACAGCGACATCGACAATAGTATGAGCAGCCTTTACGAATGGAAACCCTACAAACAGTTCTACCATCCCGAAGCGCCCAGCTTTATGACCGTTGTCAAAAGTCCCCAGGAAGTAACGGACATTATCCTCGGCAAGGGCTCTCGGGCGTGCATCATTAATGTTGAAACTATGTCTGTCACAGACCTTCATCGACCCGACCACACGGACGGCAGTAGTGGTAACAGTAGTGGCTCCAACCATAACAACAACAACAACAACAGCAACAACAACAACAGCAACAGCAACAGCAACAGCAATGGAAGCAGTAGCAGTAGTGGCAGCGGCAATGGCGTGATGCATGGACTCGGCAAGAAATTGGGCTTCAAGTATGGACCACTATGGCATTCTTTCGAAAAGATTCCCTTCGACGTCCCACCCCACATCCTCTACCCTGAAGCCGCGGCTGCATTGTTTGGCAACGGACGGGATCGGAAAGAACAATACTCGGGGCATCCACAACGGGACCAACCATCTCCTGTATACGTCGTCGATCCCCCGCAACTTGACGCGGGTGCCAGCAACAACCGACGCTCGCGCGACGACATTATCCAGCGGCCAGCGGATCAACAGAGCATACACCAGCAGGAACTCGAGGAACAGGACCGCGCTGAAGCTGAAGCTCTGGCCTTGAAACTCCAATGCCAAACACTCCGCCAAAGCAGCCTGCAAGTCCCCATGATCTCTTACTCCCCGGCCTCATCCTCATCTTCCTCGTCAATATCGTTACCCTCCACCACATCACCGCCTCAACCTCACCAGCATCAGCACTACCATCATCAAACCTCTTCTCACCACTCCATCAATAACAAGGCACCTACAACCCGCATGGTCACCTCGGAGGAGGTTCTGAACCAGGCCCTATGCCAGCGGACGGCCACCCGCCTCTTCCTCTCGACTAACGGCTCCCATTCCCGGATCGTGAACTTGCATGGCAAACCCCAATCACCACTCGTCCTTGACTGGGAGGCCTCCCCACCTCAAAAAGTTGAGTTCCTGAAGGCCCCCCAGGACATCTATGTTGTCGGGTTCCAGAAATCCTCTATAACGATCTTCTCACTCACAAGGGCTTGCAAGGTCAAACGTATCCTCAAGAAGGATCTTGTCCACGCTGCAGATGCATCTTTCTCGACTCTGACATCAACGTCAACTAAAATAGCCGCCGCAGCCGGAGGTAACGAAATCACCAACTCAGGAACCAGGACTTCTCTTGGCGACATCAGCGGCAACAACGCATCCGCGGCTTTGGCTATGACATCAATTTTGACTTCGACTTCAACTTTGACATCAACTTCAGCCTCACCCTCGAACATCGCTGGCCAAACACCATCACCGACCTCTTCGTCACTGTCGGCCCTAACAGCAAGCGCGATAGCTGCTGCTACCGCTGCAGCAAACAGCTCATCGATTAAATTCCTGGGACGTGACAACATTGCGGTCGACTCGCTCGGTATCTTTTTCAGCTACCTTCATCCACGTAACGGTACTTCGATCTGCAAATTGGGGATTGTTCCTCTCCCGCACGATGATCTCGAACTCGTCGGCTATTATCCATGACCCCAGCGTTCTACCATGTTATGCATCACTACATGTATACTAGTTAAAATAAATAACGTCAAACCTATAGCGATTACCTTCCAGTTTCAATCATATACAACGCAAAGATACACGAACGAATTGAAGCATGGAGAAAAAGAGGGACAAGAGGCATTACTATTGAAACAGCAATGTGATGAGGATGAATTGTATATGGAGATATATATGTTGCTACATATGCGCAAGAAAAGAAACGCAAAAATGGGGCAGAAAGCATGAGGTAAGATTACTTCTCCAAAACAATAATAATAATAATAATAATAATAATAATAATAATAAGACGAAGGAAGAGATGATGATGATGATGATGATGATGATGATGATGATGAAGGAAAAGAAAAAAAGGTAATAGCGACTCTTTGTTTTTTTCTTTTCCGTCGATGCTTCATCCACCACCAAAGACACTGACAAATCATGCTTTTTATCCTCGTCCCGCTTCGTCGCCTTCTTGCTTCCTTCTCAGTCTTGCCGCTTCCATTCTGCTCTTTTTTAATTTCCTCCACGAATCGAGCCATCGTGCAAGCCGCGTCCTGTTTTCGCGTGTGTATGGTTCGACGAGGTTTTCTGTTAGAGAATAATACAGCATCCGCTTTCCTGGGATTGATTTCCTTGCGTCAACGCTCCACGCGTCGCCGCCTCAAACACATCGTCAACTCCGTCGCCCGTCAATGCACTGCACTCCAAATGATTTCGCGCTCCAATCTCTTGTGCCACTCGCTCCGCCTAGGTCGTTTTCATAAATAAAAAGAACGGGCGGTAGTTTAGTATCTCAAAAATACAATAAAGAAATAATAATAAAAAAGCCTACGCTTTATCTTCTAATGGAGATGGGAGTGATGAAAAGAAGACATACCTCGGCTGTTGTTACGAAGCGGGCAACCTTCGGTTGTCCCGTCGATGATGCCTGATCATCCCTCAAATCCTTCTTCATTCCGACCAAGATCACAGGCGTATCAGGACAATGATCTTGAACCTCTTGAATCCACTACTCAGCAATATACATACCATTACACCAATTCAAAGAATCAGTCAGTCCTCATCTTCCAAAGGGCATTCAACAAATCTCCTCGAGTTAACTCGGTGCAGTACAAAGACATACCTTCGATGTAACGTTATCGAGGGAATCCGGTGTGTCGACAGAGTATCCGATCAGGATAACATGAGCCTTGGTATAAGAAAGTGGTCGAAGTCGCTAATTGATTCCCAATACAAGATGAAGAAGGAATTAAATAAGTATTTCAGTGTCAGCACCGATTTTCTTCCATGAATTTGCTCCGCAATATGTTAACAGTCGATCCATACCTCATATGCCTCCTGCCCACTATGCAAATTTTTTTTTTTAAAAAAAAAAAAAAAAAAAAAAAAAGTAAGTTAGCGCCATTAGCATTAAAAGTATGGACGCCTTTTCATCTTAACGTGAACTTCGTTCTGGCACGTACGCTGTATCCCATAGTGCGAGCTGCACAGGCTTGCCATCAATCTTGACATCCGTTACAAAGTTTTCAAACACCGTTGGGTTCTATAGTTATAGATAAAAAACAGAAATGCAATGGGCGCACAAAAAAAAAGGAATGAGAAAGAAAGAAGTCAGTATGGTGCAACAAGTATATGGACGTTATTACAGTGCAACATTCATCGTTACTTACATAGTCCTTGAGGCCACAAAATACGGCATCAGGTTCAAGTGGACAGGGGAGTTAATAAGGACGTTTATGCACACACACGCGAAAGCAGAAACCAGGTTTCCGAATCGACAACGTAGTGCGTTTGAATAAATGAGCAAAAAAAAACACAAACAAGGAGAGTAGGCACGGATCATGCGGTTAGTCAGTCGTCAATCGAGTACATATTTGGCCCAACCCATAAATGCAATCAAAATAAAGTCCCAATTTCGTCCATGAGTGCCATGTCCGTTTCGTTTTCGCGCACGCGTCCCGTCTGCAGCTCGATACAACAAATTTCTATAAATATGAATCCTGCACCGTGTATATATAGACACCCGCTCCCTCAATGGTTGTCGGTCCTTCGACTTGGATCCGTGGAACAGTCGAACAATCCGTTGCACAATCAAACGGAGGGATGGATCCGCCCACATGCACATCATATTCAACTTCAGACCCATCCCACACCAGCCGTTATCAATTGATCGTGAGTGGCCTAGGGGGAATATTGCTTTTTTTTTTTTTTTTTGGCTTGGGCTTACATAAACCCCCTCCTTCCCCCAACCGCATCACATTACGAAAAGGCATGGCAGAACACATGCCCTGCTCAGCCTGAGGAAAGCACCCTTTTTTTCTTTTCCCTTCGACGATTTCATCGGTGTATTTTATCGTCTTTATTTTTTTAGCCCACACATGCTCATGCCACTCCCTGTCGTTTGACCTGTTCATAAACTCCAAGAAAAAAAAAGATGGGGCGGTGCTCCAAACGGTTTGCAAGAAAAGAAAAGAAAAAATCGGTAAATTGACAACAGCCCAGTTTGCAGCACCGCCTTTTTTTTTTTGTCCTCATCTTCGTCTATTCCTGTAGCCTCTATGCGGTTCCACGACAGTACGCCCTTCCCTCCTAGGGCACACAAGGAAGCGGGGGACAAATGTCGTAAACGACTACCACATTAGGCGTTTATATTGCAAGTGCGGTCCATTACATCCAATCCAGCCTAATTCAATTCAACTCAATCCAGGCACAAACTCCATCTCCTGCGTATTGTTGTTTTTTGTTGTGCTTTTTTGTTCCGCGAGGTCGGTAGACTAGTTTCCATGTTGGCTGTTGGGCTGGATAATTAGGTCACCGGCGTGCCATCATAGAAAACACAATAATAACAACAATAATAACAGCAACAATACGAAACCATGCAAGATGCCATGTGCTAACGTACAAAGCAGAACAAGTACCGGAAAGCAGAAACAATACAAAGGAAAAGTAAGAAGTAAAAAGAAGGCAGCGACAGTAAAAAAAAAAAAAAAAGACGAACTCACCTTGGGAAAATAGCCAAGGGTGAAGACGGACAATAACGAGGTCTTTCCACAAGCTCCGTCGCCGACAATGACCAGCTTCCTGCGGACGATATCCTTGTCTTTGGTACTGGACATGACTGTGCTGTGCTGTGCTGTGCTGTGTGATTAGTGAGGCTGAAGTTGATTGCAGGTGCGAATGAGGGCGCTGTTCTTTGTTGAACGAAGAATGACGACCCAGTTGCAAAATAAATTCGGGACAGAAAAGAGCAAAATGAAGTGGGGAGAGAGAAGGAAGGAATCAGTTCATCCGTTCATCCGTTCATCAGCTGAGGTGTAAAAGCGACAGAGAGATGTGGTCTGCAAGTTTTGATCATGTGCGTATGCCGCTGCTGCAGTTGTGGGTGAGGGGGCGGGGGTAGGGACGCAGGTGTGAGAAAAGGGAGGGAGGAGCGAGCGGAGGCAATTGAAAGGAAAAGGATAGAGACGCACCGCTGACAGCCGCTCCTTTGGGAGGTTGATGAGATGAGTAGGTTGACAAGGAAAGGGATAGATGGGATGAAAGAGGAAGAAAGACTTGGTTGGGTCTGTTGTCACACTCTTTCATTCAAGGGTGTTGCCTCCCGATTATGGAAATGATAGAAACGATATGCGTATAAGTTATTGAATACTGGATGGAGCGAGGAAAAAGAAAAGAGAGGGAAAAGGGATCCTCCCCCCTCTCCCTTCTCTTCTGAACTGGTTACCCGCGTGTGGGACTACAGGTGGAATAGGACTACGCCCTCGGGGTGGGTATTGCAGCCTGGTGGCACCAGTTGCAAAATGGGTGTGAAAAAAGGGGTGTTGGTTAAAGCTGATTTGGCTACTGCTGTTTGTTGGTTTCATCCTGTGGGTGGGTGAGTAGGGGGAAGTGAGGTGACCAGACCAGTGCAGAGCAGTGTGTAATCCATTCATTTCCTCACCTTTTTCTGATGCTGTTGAAGAGGAAGGGTGCGTGGATTAAGAAAGGGGCGGGGTCAGATGGAAGATGAGGATGATACTGGTGATGAAGAGTGAGGAGTGAGGAGTGATGGTGACAAGTGAAGGGGTGAGAAAGAACGAATAGTCCGATGCGAGTTTGAGATGAGTTGAAAGGGATGTGATGTGTGCGTGTAGAGGAAAGATATCGGAAAGAAAGAAAGAAAGAAGAAAGAAAGAAGAAAAGACAGAAAAAAGAAAGGGAATCTTAGGCAGACAAAGACTGAAAGTCGCTTTTCAGCTGTGGACGTTGTGTAATGTTCACACTACTTATCGTTCCTACCCCGTCGAACCTTTACCTATCTATTCTTCTCCGTAGCATCATCCCTCAGGGATCAATTGCTTCTCTTTTCTTCGCTTCTATCTTTTGCTTCCTCCAGCTCTTTCCCTTCTTCCTTTCCTCTTAGCTCTATAACTCCACTCCTTTTTTTTATCATTCTTTCACCCCAATCCAAATGCTAAACACCGTAGCATACCTTTTCTTCTTCTTTGACTTCGTATTCTGCAACTCTCTACATGCGTAGAAAACAAACAAATTATCCATCCAAAAGGATTGCATATGGTATGCAGCTGCTGCAGCAAAAGTTGAGTGAAGAGAGTGGGATTTGAACCCACGCCTACGAATAGACCGCGGCCTTAACGCGGCGCCTTAGACCAACTCGGCCATCTCTCCAATTGAGATTCATATCAAAATATATTTATTATATATCTAGTATCTGGATTGCATGCTAGCTCTATAAGTGCACGTTCTTTAAGTGCACGGTCCTTATATATAGGCCCGATGGCTCAGTTAGCATACTGGTCAGGGCACCTCCCTTGTAACGCGAAGGGACCAGGTTCGAGCCCTGGTTAAAGCACAGTAATATGTGCTACGCATAGAAATTTATTTGGAGCATGAGTCGGGCGTACTACCCCACTTCAGTTATGTGGGTTTCCTTTCCCCGGCGACCCCCACATTGAGTGGCACTACCCCATGTAATCGTTGTGGGTTTCCTTTCCCCTTCCTTAACGCTCGACAAAATGCTCAGAATAAATTTCGCCCTTGCGCTAGCCTCCGGACTTCGAGAGGCGCTGGTTCAGAACTTCCCAGCTATACACCAGGGTGTACAAGTTATTCCACTGCACTGGCAGCATGCGTCTTAGCTACCCCTGCCGGGGTTACAGGTATAAGTTCAAAAAGTGAGTAGGCCCACTTTATAATAGGCTAATCTGAGCTCACATCCAGTGACCTCAGGTGGAGGAAAGACGGGACGAGGAGGAGGAGGAAATGTTACAATAGTAGAGGATTCGGCTCGCAAGCCAGTAGAACGGATTCCGTGCTCTCAAGAAACCAAGACCATCTCCCAGATGTACAGGTTGCAATTGGAGAGATGGTCTTGGCAGATTTGCAGGTGAGGAGCCTGCCAGCTAGCCGAGCGGATCGCAGGAGAAAGACCTCGGGACGCTTAGGGAGGTTACAGTGAAAGTTGTTGGAGATGGTGCGACTGCCACACTAGAAGATTTAGGGCCAGATAGACACAAGTCTCAGAGACTATTCACTAGGAAACCAGCACTGATTGTTCTCTCTCGGAGGCCATGTTGAATAAAAAAAAAAAAAAAAAAAAAAAGCACGGTCCTTATATGCAGGCCCGATGGCTCAGTTAGCATACTGGTCAGGGCGCCTCCCTTGTAACGCGAAGGGACCAGGTTCGAGCCCTGGTTAAAGCACAGTAATATGTGCTACGCATAGAAATTTATTTGGAGCATGAGTCGGGCGTACTACCCCACTTCAGTTATGTGGGTTTCCTTTCCCCGGCGACCCCCACATTGAGTGGCACTACCCCATGTAATCGTTGTGGGTTTCCTTTCCCCTTCCTTAACGCTTGACAAAATGCTCAGAATAAATTTCGCCCTTGCGCTAGCCTCCGGACTTCGAGAGGCGCTGGTTCAGAACTTCCCAGCTATACACCAGGGTGTACAAGTTATTCCACTGCACTGGCAGCATGCGTCTTAGCTACCCCTGCCGGGGTTACAGGTATAAGTTCAAAAGTGAGTAGGCCCACTTTATAATAGGCTAATCTGAGCTCACATCCAGTGACCTCAGGTGGAGGAAAGACGGGACGAGGAGGAGGAGGAAATGTTACAATAGTAGAGGAGTCGGCTCGCAAGCCAGTAGAACGGATTCCGTGCTCTCAAGAAACCAAGACCATCTCCCAGATGTACAGGTTACAATTGGAGAGATGGTCTTGGCAGATTTGCAGGTGAGGAGCCTGCCAGCTAGCCGAGCGGATCGCAGGAGAAAGACCTCGGGACGCTTAGGGAGGTTACAGTGAAAGTTGTTGGAGATGGTGCGACTGCCACACTAGAAGATTTAGGGCCAGATAGACACAAGTCTCAGAGACTATTCACTAGGAAACCAGCACTGATTGTTCTCTCTCGGAGGCCATGTTGAATAAAAAAAAAAAAAATTAAGTGCATATGGCAGCACCCACATCCGAGGTCTATCCTGTATCGCCGGGACCCGATCAATGCTCAAAGGCGACGAGTATTATGACCGCTCTCCGGATCTGACCTGGAGCATCAGCGATTTATGCCGTGGCATCACACCCGTCAGCCTTATCAAGGAGTGGGGCAGTCTATTTACCTCGCCATCGTCGATTGCGCGCCAGGCCATTCACAAGTTCGTCGGCTTTATTGAGGAGAAAGCTACGGAGCTGATCTGGAAACCACGCTGCAAGGCCACCATTGCTCGAGAGCGAGAATGGGGGATCACAGCCAAGATGAAACGAACTCCATACAAGGGACCGAGAGGGGACTGGAGTGATGGGTATGGATACATTAGCGACTGAGATATTTTTGGGATTCAGAATAAGTGAGAAAGAGATGTGGCTCCACACACCACACCGATTAGGTATTTATTTGTATTAAATATAATAGTGAGCTGGAGGTACACTTGTTAAACTAAATATACAGTGAACTCTGGTGAAATATGCGACAGCGACGATGACCAATGTCCGTGTGGTGCATTACTCGCTGACCATGTAAACGGGAGCTGCCCTGGCCCCGTGCTTGACCCAGACGCAGCGGATCGGACGCTGCTGGATTGCCTGCAAGGGAGGAGGCGGTTGACAACTATGGAGGGGATGGGGAAGATACCCTTCTTGTAACAAGGTGTTTTCAGCTTTTAACACACTGATGAGGTGTGGCAATTGTTGCGCAGGCCCTAGGGGCAGGCCCGGGGAATGTGACCTGTCAACTGGCGACTGTGGATCGGTTGCAATGTGGACTTATGTTAATAAAAAAAAAAGACTGTGGATCGGTTCCGTTTTGGTGGTGAGGACAGCGATAGTAGACCATTGCTAGTTAGTCTGATAGATTCGCAGAGTCAATTGACTCGAGGGACAGATCGTTATAAAAAAGGATCTTTATATGCACGTGCTTGGGCCAGGTAGACGCTGTTCCCTCTCGGAGGCCATGTTCTTTTTTCTAATACCACCTTCCCTGGGTTTGTTTGCCCTCATTCCGTCTTCCTCTTCTTTTTCGATATCTCTTAATATCTTTTGCTCCATCCTCCGTTGCGTCGATTAATAAGTATGTCGAACTTTCGCGGCATATTCGTACACATATAAGCATGATCAATGAGTTTGCATTTTTTTCGCAAAAAGGAGTGTAGGCACTTTCCTGATTCAGTAGTTGCTTCGCCCAGTTGGGTGTGTAGTGGCATTTGTACTAAGACCTCATTGTATTTAGCATTAATTCCATTCATTAACGATTAACCTGTACTTTTTCTGCTGCCCTACTCGTTTTATTTCTTCATCTTATCTTCATGCTCTCTAATCCGACTTCAGGACGAATAGGAATTTATATTTCAGTTACCAGTGGAGTGAACCCAAAAGACATCATTTATACATCGGTTTTGCAGACTGTCAACAATGGTATTTTGACGTGCGTCCCATGCCAGTGAATAAAGCCAATAGTCTCAACCTTATTCTTAGCAGTGCATCCCTTGGCCTCGTGGCTCCACGGTTCCTCCCGTAAACTCCTCCTCGCTAGATAGGCCAAGGCGTACAGACAGTGGCGGTGCTACATGCAGACATATTTTTCAATTAAACTTATTCAACTTTCACTAGAAAGACTGGACT